AACGAGTAAGTCAAGCAGCGTGATGACTGTTCTGTCAGAACCGTCTATTCCTGTTAAGACGACACCTTTTGTTGGTAATCATTTGCAGCAGTTACTGGTAATCATCAATGAATTTGCAGAGTATTTCATATCGGGAACTGCTACGTCTACTGTAAAAACCGGTAGCATGTCAATTAAATTGAGCAACTATACTCTAATTAACTATAGACCATACGTCTTGCTTTTGCTGAAATCCTTCGCGTTCGGGACATAATTAGAGATCTGTTAGAAAAAAAGATTTTCCAAGAGTCAGAGTCCGAATATGCGAGTCCCATCCTTCTTGTTAAAAAGAAAGACGGATCGGACCGCATGTGCGTAGATTTCCGTAAATTCAATGAAGTTACCGTCAAGGATCGGTTCCCGTTACCGAGGATCGATGATCACATCGATCGACTAGAACAAAATAAGTATTTTACAAGCCTTGATATGGCAACAGGATTTCACCAGATCCCGCTGGAAAAAGAATCGGTCCCTCTTACGGGGCTTGTCACGCCCGAGGGGCACTATGAATATTTAAAGATGCCTTTGTTTTTATGTTAAATGTCGTAATAAAATTTGCTGTCCTATTCACATTGACGTATTATTAAAGTGTTATGTAAAAGTATAAAGTGAAATGTTTTAAGCTAAAAGCTAAATCTTTTTGTTCGATTTATATTAAAAGTACCCGCGAGAACTTTCATTGTTTCTTAACGTACCCAAGTATGTTAACAAATGTTGAAAGAAATATTGAAAAGAGGTGTTACTAAATGAGTTTTAGTTTGCATACAGTGAAAACTTAACTTGTTCGAGTTTTGTTGTAATTGATGAATGTCTAGTTTTGATTTTTTGTGAAATGATATGAAAATACGTAGCCCACGAAATAATGTAGCCCATACATTTTAAAGTTCGAAATGTTTAAGCGATATATCAAACAAAGGATTAACTTTAACGTGCTATGAATTGAAAAAAATAAATAGCCTGTTTGTATTCTAGTGTGTTGATAAGTGTTACAGTTTACTCCAAATAGTCAACGGCCATTTGGACATTGGCGTGTCCGAGCCTTGGTATGATTGAGGCTATGCCGTTGCTACCTGCTATGTCTTGGCGGATCTTGCGGCGGTACGGCTCGGGCTTCTGCCGACGACACTATGCTTTGGCGCGGCAAATTGACGTCTGACGCTTGCTCAGTTTTCGTTGCGAGTGCCACTGGGAGGTATGCAAACTTGGTGCCTACGCCTACAATGTTGAAGTTTGGACAGCTTGCTGGTGCGAGTGTAGCGCAGTGACTTGCTGGCGCTGATGCAGCGCAGCGGCTTGCTGGCGCTGATGCAGCGCAGTGGCTTGCTGGCGCTGATGCAGCGCAGGGGCCTACTGGCGCTGATGCAGCGAAGCGGCTTCCTGGCGCTGATGCGGCGCAGCGGCTTCAGGCGCTGATGCGGTGCAGCGACTTGCTGCTTGCTGGCGCTGGTGCGCCGAGACAGCTCGCTAGTGCGAGTGCGCCGAGACAGCTCGCTAGTGCGAGTGCGCCTGGACAGCTCGCTAGTGCGGGTGTGCCGAGACTGCTGTCTAGTGCGAGTACAGCGAGACAACTCGCTGGCGCTGGTGCGCCGAGACAGCTCGCTGGCGCTGGTGCGCCGAGAAAGCTCGCTGGCGCTGGTGCGCCGAGACAGCTCGCCGGCGCTAGTGCGCCGAGACAGCTCGCCGGCGCTGGTGCGCCGAGACAGCTCGCTGGCACTGGTGCGCCGAGACAGTTCGCTGGAGCGCGTTTATCTGGTTGGCCTGTGTCTTCAGTGTATAGTACGATCTGCGCCGTATGCGCAGTGTTCCTAAGAAAAAAATTATGCAAGTTTAGTCTGTATGAAATATATTCAAGAGCTCACTCATTGTCTGCTGTTGAATAACGATTGGTAAAGATTTGAAAATTCATGGTCAGAAAGGGCCGAGACGAAAAAGTTACATTAATAATTAAGCCAGTATCGTTACTTTAGCCTACACACGAGGTGTGTGGTTGCCCCATGCTTTCTTTGAGGGTCAGTAGTTACACGTGTCAGAAATAGGTAACGTAGTGCTTTCTTTCTGATGGAGTAATATTGAGATACGCTAACGTTGTGCCTCTTTCTCAAAAGTAGAAGGCGGACAAGCTAACGTTGTGCCTCTGTCGCGTCTAGCTTAAGTTATGCTAACGTCGTGCCTATGACTTAAGTAGATGTTAAGTTATGCTAACGGAGTGCCTATGACTTAATCGGTTATTATTTTGTTAAGTTATGCTAACGTTGTGCCTATGACTTACTCAGTTATTTTGTTAAGTTATGCGAACGTAGTGCCTATGACTTACTCAGACGATATGTTGTAACGAAGAGGTAATGTTTTCGTTAACATAATGGTTATGGTATACCTTGTTGACAGACGCAGACATTGAAGGCAAAGAGTCCACTGCCGAGGAGTCTCAATTTGTAAAAGGACAGTCTCCAAGACCTAAGCCACTTGACGCTGAAGGCTTGGGGCAGGAGGTAGAGGAAGAGCAGCAGACAGAAACGTCAAGAATAGAGAGACCCTCCGTGCCGACACCCAGAGCCTACGTCACAAGCGACAACGACGAGCCTTCACAGAGCGCGTCACCTGTGATCGACGCGGCGCCTGCACTCACCATGCCCCAGTGATGAGGCCGATATTAAAAGAGAAGGGGACCCCGAGGACGGTCTCCTGTCAGGAGAGGCCGTGTAGTAGAAGATAGAAGTCTCCCTTCCCCTGCAAGCCCTAATGGTATAAAAACAGTGCGCGCGACGTGACGCCCTTCTTTTGCTTGGGGCCGTTAATCATGTAAGATTGTTCCTAGCATTAGTTTTGTTAATTTTCTTTTTGTGTGTGAATAAAAAAATTGTGTTATAATTCTTTCCTCTTTATTTAAAAAAATAGCCTCGAATAAGTGTTACATAAGAGTATAATAAAATTTGTATGGTAAGTTAAATAAAGCATGTTAGGAATTAGAACACAAAACAAAAAAAAAAAAGTAAAAGGAAAAAAAAGGCATGATATATAAAAAAAAATAATAAAAAAAAATCTATATATATAAAAAAACAAGAAAAAAATATATAATAATAATTAAAAAAAAAAATAAAAAAAAAACCGTGAACTCACTGCTTAGGCTTAAGTAAATTTACTATACTAGTAGTGTAAGGAGTACAATGTAAAATAAAAAAGTTAATAAAGAAATATAAAGCGAAATAAACAAAAATTTTAACAAAATAGAATACCGACTTCAAAACAAAATATTTTAAAACAATAAATGCACTAAAAATTTTAAAAATAATTGCGTATTCTTGTATCTACAACTTACAATCAACTTATTTTTTCTACTCAATGTACGATCTATGCGTTTACCACGCAAGAAGGTAGGTACCGACTTAAACTTCACATCTAACTCAACACATATCTATGATTCACAAACAATTATCAAAATATTTTTTAGAGTTCAACTAAGCAAAAATTTTCAAATACATGTGTAGACTGCTTAAAAGACAATCAAATTATTAGGATAATATAATCTACAATTATTGTCATTTTTGGAGTCGGTGTCAGCCAAGGTATGTTTCTAACTACTTAAACGTGAGATGTCTTACTATAATCATAACATAGATAACAATTGGCATACACAATTTACACACATAGACGCAGCACTCGGCGCGGGCTTATCGACGCGGGCGCGGGGAAGGAGGGTCCCACCCTACAGAAGTGAGCGAGCCAAACGCGTACGCCGGCCATTCGCCAGTCAAGAAAAAGAACCTATACGAGTTACTTGATTATAAACCGATTCCGATTCTTTTTCATTCTACACCGTCTTTCTTACTGTAATTCCTTATGTTTATTATTAAAGCTACATTTTCGTATAAAGGTTGCTAGATATTGTCACAGCATATTGTCGTATTAATATTCGTCTATAAGTAGGTTTAATTAAGTATTGTTATTTTGTTGCATTAAGGTTGTTAGAAAGGTATTGTCACAGCATATTGTCGTATTGAAGTTAATTTGGAAATAGGTTAATTATATATTGGTATTTTATTGTATTAAGGTTAACAGATAAGTATTGTCACAGCATTTTGTCATATTAATGTTCATTTATAAATAGGTTTAATTAGGTATTGGTATTTTGTTTTTTGTAATAATGTTATTAGGTACTATCACAGCATATTGTCGTATTAATGTTCATTTATGAATAGGTTTAATTAGGTATTGGTGTTTTGTTGCATTAAGGTTGTTAGATAGGTAATGTCATTGGTATTTTGTTATATTAGAGTTGTTAGATAGGTATTGTCACAGAATATTATTGTATTAAAGTTAATTTGGAAATAGGTTAATTATTTTTGGTATTTCGTTGTATTAAGGTTGTTACTTAGGTATTGTTACATCACATTGTATTTAAGTTAATTTGTAAATAGGATTAATTAGGTTATTGGTATTTTGTTTATTGTATTAATGTTGTTACATAGGTATTGTCACACCATATTTTCGTATTAAAGCGTATTTCCAGGAATTCTCGTATTATTATTGCTAGGTACATTAACGTATTTCCTTGGCTGACACCGACTCCAAAAATGACAATAATTGTAGATTATATTATCCTAATAATTTGATTGTCTTTTAAGCAGTCTACACATATATTTGAAAATTTTTGCTTAGTTGAACTCTAAAAAATATTTTGATAATTGTTTGTGAATCATAGATATGTGTTGAGTTAGATGTGAAGTTTAAGTCGGTACCTACCTTCTTGCGTGGTAAACGCATAGATCGTACATTGAGTAGAAAAAATAAGTTGATTGTAAGTTGTAGATACAAGAATACGCAATTATTTTTAAAATTTTTAGTGCATTTATTGTTTTAAAATATTTTGTTTTGAAGTCGGTATTCTATTTTGTTAAAATTTTTGTTTATTTTTCTATTTTTAGTGATTCTGAAGTTCGATAACTGATTTTATTTGTTTGAAAATGGGTAGACCTAGCAAACGCGCTGCTCATATGAGACAGCACCGTTTAAATGAGACAAACGAAGAAAGGGAGAAACGTCTATCTCAAAAGAGGAAATCTACCTCAATTGACATTTCAAAAGAGACTTGTGAAGAGCGCAAAAATAGGCTTTCAATAATGCGGGCTTACATGAAAAAAGTTTTGTACAGGGAAAATATCGAAAAACGTACTCTCCGTCTCGGCCTGATCCACGATCGCCTATCGAATGAGACGGAAGAGCAACGTGCCCACCGCCTCGGCGTGATCCACAATCGTCTATTGAATGAGACGCAAGAGCAACGTGCCCACCGCCTTGGCATGATCCACGTTCGTCTATCGAATGAGACGCAAGAGCAACGTGCTCACCGCCTTAGCATGATCCACGATCGTCTATCGAACGAGACGGAAGAGCAACGTGCTCACCGCCTTGGTGTGATCCACGATCGTCTATCGAATGAGACGGAAGAGCAACGTGCTCACCGCCTCGGTGTGATCCACGATCGTCTGTCGAATGAGACGGAAGAGCAACGTGCTCACCGCCACGGTGTGATCCACGATCGTCTATCGAACGAGACGGAAGAGCAACGTGCTCACCACCTCGGTGTGATCCACGATCGTCTGTCGAACGAGACGGAAGAGCAACGTGCTCACCGCCTCGGTGTGATCCACGATCGTCTATCGAATGAGACGGAAGCGCAACGTGCCCACCGCCTCGGCGTCATCCACGATCGTCTATCGAACGAGACAGAAGAGCAACGTGCTCACCGCCTCGGTGTGATCCACGATCGTCTATCGAATGAGACGGAAGAGCAACGTGCCCACCGACTCGGATTGATTCGCGATCGCTTATCAAACGAAACACCTGAAACTCGTTCAGATCGACTTAGTAGAATGCAACAAGCTGATCAAGCTTGTAGGGACATCACAAATGAACAATCTTTTGAAGCGGCTATTAATATTTTTGCTGATGTACCATGCGCCGTTTGTAAAAGAAGCCTTTATCCTCAACAGCGTTCCAATTTACGAGCAAATATGTATAGTATACTATTACCTGAAGAACTGGTTGCTTTAGGTACAATAACTACGTGCTCTCGATGTAGCAATAATATTAGGAAAAGAAAAATTCCAACAACTGCATATTGGAATAAAATGATGCCCGCAGAAGTACCGCCTGAATCAGTCAATTTGACGAGCGTTGAAGAACGATTTTTAAGCCGCATCGTACCGTTTTTAAAGATTGTAAAACTTAATAACCGGTTCAGTCAAAATTGGTGTAAAGGGCAGGTCATTCTATTTGCAAAGGATGTTGTGGAAATTGGTGAACAGTTACCACTGACACCAAATCAAGCTGGTTTAGTTTTGGTAGTGGAAAGTCTCGAGAACCTTTCATGTTCTAAAGAATTCGTCGTGGATATGCAAAGACTGAATCGAGCATTAACTTGGTTAATTTCCAATAACCATCTTTACAGCGATGTTCAGGTACATTTTGAAACTACTTTAAATATTCCTCATATATTACAAATAGCTGAAAATTCTATTCCTGAACAGGATGGCGTTGCTTCTGAAACTTTATCACAACATTATATCACTTTAAATGACAACAAGGCAATATTACGCGGATCATTTAATCAAGGTGATTTACGATTTAATTTATCTCGGGGTAAGCAATGTACTGGGATAGCGGCTGTTGCTTGTGCAGCATTTAGTGTATTAGATCCAAACAAGTGGGCCAAAAGTGATATTGATTACATTGTAATTATTGGCGATAAATACTATAATGACTGCATCGCTGCTAGAGATAATCCTGCGCCCGGCGAAGTAAATTCTGAGTACCTTGCTGTTTCAGATCTTAGTCCAAGACTTATATATAATAGACAAAATTTAGTGATCACAGTACTTGAGGAAACCAATCATAATGGCCACATAGACAATGATAATACTTCCGATGGATTTCCTAATTTAAAAAATGCATTATTAAGTTTTTTCAGAGAACACTCCAATGGGATACTTACAGCAAACGCCATATCGATAGCAGTGCATTGCAGAACTTTAGGTGACAATCAAACTTACTTTTTGTTTGATTCCCATGCAAGGGGTCCCAAGGGGGCTTCCGCTCCCATAAATGGTACCGCTTGTTGCATGCGATTTAGTGAACTGGATGATTTGCATGCTATTTTACGTCGCAATTTATTTGTGTCGCCAAAAAAGTGCCAGAAGGAAACTTTCGAGATAATCTTAATGTATTCTCGTTAACATCATTAGTTATAGCTCGAGACTCCCAAAGACAAACAATTACGCCAATATTGGAACAATCGTCAAGGTTAGAGAGTCCAACATTTACACCAAACGATTCCCTCCAACCGATAATACAAACAGCTCGAGACTCCCAAATACAAACGATTACGCCAATATTGGAACATTCGTCAAGGTTAGAGAGTCCAACATTTACACCAAACTATTCCCTCCAACCAATAATACAAACAAGTAATACCCTCCAAACAACAACACAAGTCATTCAGTCTATCCAAAAAACAGTTCCGGTAAAATCAACCCATTTTCAGTTGCCATTACCAGTCCATAACTCCTTGAGCACCATTTATATCGAATCAACAGGTATGCTCCAAAATATAGACGATAACGTACCTAATTTAGAAAATGTTGTTAATATGAATAGCTCTTCAACCGATGATACAATGAGATTGGCCGCAATCACAAGGAAAACTGCACCTCCCTTGAATTTGGAACGTGAACGCCGTATGGAGGAATTATGTTGGTATTTTCTTTTTCCAAATGGCAGGAATGGCTTTGGCGAGGAAAGAGAAAATGCGTGTACCCCCCTTGATTACTTTTAAAACCGGGTAATGAGTATTGACAAGAGGTTCAACAGAAATGATTATTTATTTTATGCTCTATCCATTGTTGAATATTTTCGTGCAAAATCAAGCGTATCTGTGTCATGTAGGATGCGACAATGTCATGGAGAGCAAACACCACAGGGACTTGTAGATAATATGCATCTCACTATGAGAAATATTCGAGGATCGGCATCATATTGGCAGAAATGTTGCTCTGAATTGATTGCCATGGTTAGAACTTTAGAGCCTCCCACATGGTTTTTAACATTTTCCTGCAATGATTTAAATTGGCCAGACATGATAAAAGCCTTGCTTATCGCTGATGGACGTGATATCGATGACGTCGATCGCCTGTCATTCCCGGAGCGCTTGAACCTAGTGCAAAAACATCCGGTAGTGTTAGCACGACAGTTCACAGTACGTGTTAACGCTCTCATGCGATTCTTAAAGAGAAATAAAGATTGCTTGGGTGGTCTTATTGAAGATTTTTGGTACCGAGTGGAGTTTCAAAACCGCGGTAGCCCACATCTGCATATGTTAGTCTGGTGTAGTAATGTTCCGAATTTCACCACTCCAGAAGGAGTTGCTGTAATTGAAAGGGTGGTTTCATGTTCATTAACTCCTAATGACCTTGTGTTGCGCAAATTAGTTGAGGATTTACAGATTCATAAACACACTGCGACATGCAAAAAAAATCGCCAAGCTGATGGTTGTCGATTTGATTTTCCAAAGCCAGCAAGTGTTAACACCGTTTGTCTTGGACCAGATGAAGCACTTGCTAACAATGGACGATTATGTATATTGAAACGAACCTCAAATGAAACCATGGTAAACAATTACAATGCAGTTCTTTTAAATCTATGGAAGGGAAATATTGACGTGCAACCGTGTGGTAATGTCACCGCTGTGGCCTACTACGTCGCAAAATATGCCAGTAAATGCGAACCACATGACACAGGTGATGTAATTCGAGAAGCTATTTCGAATGCTAAGAGACAAGGTGGTGATGTTTGGAAACAATTGTTTTCAATATCAATGACTATTTTAAATAAACGCTTGGTGAGTGCGCCCGAATGCGCTTACAGATTATGCCATTTGCCATTGAAAATGTCGTCGCGAAAGACTGTTTTTGTGAATAGTTGCAGGCCGGAGGAACGTTACAGACTCCTGAGATTTGATAGTGATGAAACCAGTATTTACAATAATATTTTTGATCGTTATGTATTACGCCCAAACGAGCTGGAGAATTTAAGCCTTGCGGAATTTGCCGTCCGTTTTGAAACCGTCTCTAACACGACATGGTCAGAGGACAATGGGGATGCGGAACTGAGAGACGAAGATATTACGCCAGAGAGGTATATCAGATTGCAGGACAATACGAGATTGCGTGTAAGAAATAGACCGGCAGTGTTACGTACCCGCTATTATACAATTAATAGTGACAAAGAAGCATATTATTACAGTTTATTAGTATGCCATATACCATTTCGTAATGAAGGCGAATTACTTTTCGAAAATGAAACCGCTGAAGACTGTTTTATAAGACGAAAAGGGGATCTTCGCCCGTTGCAGGGTGACATCAGTGCAGAACAATTTGGTCATGCCGAATTAATTATTCAACAAGCTGTTGCGCAAGCTACCGCGCTTAATGCTGCGCGTGAAACCGATATAGGCAATGCTTCCATGTTATGTGTTGGTGAAAAAATTTTACATGACGATGATAACTTTTGTGAAGACATGGAAGAACGAGCCGTCATATCAGATGAATTGTTCCTAGGAAGCATTCGAGGATTAAATATCCAACAGAAGGAATTATTTCAGAAAGTTTCAACGGCAATCGACAATGATTTGCATGGACAAGAAAGCCAGCTGTTACATTTTATCACTGGCGGTGCAGGCAGTGGTAAATCATTTCTGCTGAAATTAATCGTGGAGCACATTAAGCGTTGTTACGCACCAACAGTAGATATACTGCTGAAGCCTAAATTTGTGGAAGTTGGGTCGTTAACCGGGGTTGCCGCTCGTCAAATTTTTGGCAAAACGCTACATAGTATTTTCTTGCTTCCGATTGAAAAAAAAAATTCTATGACATACAAAAAAATTACAGGTCAAAGACTCGAGACTGAAAGGCGTAAATGGCGCTATATAAATTGGCTAGTCATAGACGAAATTTCTATGGTCTCCTATGAGAACTTAAGAATAATTCACCTAAGACTCCAAGAATACAAAAACAACGAGAAGTTATTCGGTGGAGTCAACATTTTAGTATTTGGTGACATATTTCAGCTTCCTCCGGTGAAAGGGAATTGGTGTTTTGTGCAGCCATCGTGGTTTTCGGTGGAGGTCAATTTGTGGCATCAGTTTTCTTTTTGTGAACTGACCATAAACATGCGACAGCGCAATGATAGCGAATTCATCGATTTATTGAACAGCTTACGGGTAGGTGAACTGACGACGGCTCAGCTGGAATTACTATGCGAGCGGCGCCACGTGCCTATAAATGGTGAATTTGCGGATGGAGTCGCCGTTCGTATCTTTCCCACGGTCAGGCAAGTCGACGATTACAACGACAAAATAACCAAGGAAAATGCAAAGCTGCACCGAACTTATTTAATCAACGCAGTGGATGAGTCGCGTGAAGTAGCGACATATGGTAGAAAACCACCAGAGAACGTGATTCCCAAAGACGTCAATAACTGTGGTGGTCTTCTGCCATCGATAAGAATTAGCGTCGAATCTCGAGTGATGTTGAGACGCAATATCTCCGTCTCTGAAGGGCTAGTAAATGGAGCTATGGGTATAATAAAAAAAATCAAATGGCCGGCCTTGAGGAGAGATCAACTGGAGGATGGAGAGCTACCAGAAGCCGTGTACGTTAAATTTGATGACGAAACTATCGGTCGCAGGCTAAAAGATAGTAATGGTTGCGTACCCATACCTCCATCAAGTACTACATTTCAGGCAGTAAGGGGTTACGGAGATGTGGAGCGCCGTATGCTGCCTCTAATATTAAGCTGGGCAGTTACAGTTCACAAACTACAGGGTACGACCCTCGAAAGAGCTGTGATTGACCTTGGAAAGAAAAACTTCGCAAAAGGACAAATATATGTGGCACTAAGTCGTGTTAAAAGTTTGGAAGGCATAGCTTTATCAGATTTGGACGCCAACAAATTATTAAATAAACCACACGACGACAAATCGTTGAAAGAAATGACGAGGTTACGGAATCTGTCTTCCGACAATGAAGACCACGCATAATACTCGTACACCTCAAGTAGCGCAATTAGAATGAAAGATATACCGTTAAAATCATCAATCATTATCAATGGCTAGGATGCTATGTTTTATTCCGGAGTTCCGGTGCCTAATAACTTCATTGTCAGATCAAAAGTTGTATCATAGAAATAATTTTGTTTTTAGCTTTTTAGTGTGTACCCTTTCGAGTGTTATAGTTGCACAACAGCCTATATTATATCAAAAAAGCGATGACCGAAACCTAAATGTTATCAAAAACCGATTTGACATTGTATTAACAATACATATAGGTACGTGTGATTGTAGTAATTACGGCAGATTTTCTGTCCTTTATTTATTGAAAAGTTCCGTTTTATTTCGCCGAAGATCTTAATTCGGACATCACCAAATTATAAAAATGGGACCACCTCGAAATACTATGAATCGAAATACGATGCTCTTCTCAACCACCCTTTACCGTTTTTCCGTTTACCGTTCGACAAGTAATAAATATAAGTATAAAATAAAAAAAATCGGCAGATGAGAACATCGTCAATGCAATCGAAGTCAATTATATATGCATTATTAAGGATAACTCAAAAACTACTGGTAAAACTTGGATCAAATTTATACGGGACCACACGAGAAGTACCAGCTTTCAAATAAAAAAAGAATTATCGAAATCGGTTTACCCAGAAAAAAAAATCGGCAGATGAGAATACCGTCAATGCAATCGAAGTCAATTATATATGCATTATTAAGGATAACTGAAAAACTGCTGGTCAAACTTGAATCAAATTTATATGGGACCACACGAGAAGTACCAGCTTTCAAATAAAAAAAGAATCATCGAAATCGGTTCACCCAGAAAAAAGTTCTGAGGTAACACACATAAAAAAAAAAACTAAAAAAAAAACATACAGTCGAATTGAGTACCGGCTCCTTTTTGAAGTCGGTAGAAAAGGCTAGGCAGATGATGAATCGTACATAATATATATCGTAGCAGGTGGCGTTCTGTAGTTCTGCCCACCCATACAGAAAAAAAACATTTTTTTTTATTCACGCCATCTAGTGTACAATCTTCTTATATGTAGGGACTACGAATTGACCCATGCCTGTGTGTGTAAACGTGTGTCATTAACACACACAGACATATTCAATGACAGATGTTATTTTAGGGCTTTGTGTCGAATTATGTGGATTTTAAGGCAATGATATGTCCTGGTACAATAAAGTAAAATGTCCGAGTACCGCGGGCGCTACTTCTACGACTTAATAATGTTCCAATTACACAAAATCCCAAATAAACTAAAAAATTATGACTACAGCGCCATCTCGGGAATATGGCCGAGAGCAGAACGTTTGTGTCACCTTAAGCATTATAAAAACTTATTAAATGCATTTTGAAATAAAGAATGTGACGTTTCGTTCAAAATCTGAACTGATTTACAATCGGTCTGCATTTAAAACTCATTTTCTTAACTTTCTCTCTTGATTTGTTGTTTTTAATTTGTTGTCTAATTTTTATTGCGATTATAACTGTAACCCGTACCACCAGCTCTTACGCTTTAAACAGACTGTTATATGGTCCCCTTTCACAGGAGAGAGGATTTGCCGTACCATTCAATTTTGAAAACATTGTTATGATTATTATTAATGACACGCTGTGTTTTGTTAAGATTGTTTCAATTTATTTGAATGAAACACTAATTAACTGAAAAATATTTATTTACAACAGGCTTATAAATAGCTGAGATATTTACACTATATACATCGCCACAAAATATACAGAACATATTATAGAGTGCAGGAGAGATCCATGGTCACGTCGGCGCGCACAAGTGTAGCGCCAGCAGCATCCCCAACAGCAGCGGGAGCAGCGGGTGCGACTGCAGTGGCAAGGAGATCGCGTCACTGCTCACTCGAGCCACCGCTTGGTCCCGCTGCATGGCCTCCATGTCGCTGTCTGTAACCATTTTATTTATTACTAGCAAATACAATCTTATCAAATACAATTTTAAATATAAATTCAAAACATATCTTCTAGACAAACAAAAACAAGATATTCCCAAACACATCGTCCCACAACTATAAACCCTTTTTTCGTTTTTTGCCTAATTACCTATAAATGGGAAAGTGTAGGTAATTAATACAGCGCGCCCAGGTGCGTGTGTATGTATGTATGTATTTATGAATGTGCGTGGTACCCACCGGCGGCGGGCAGCACTTGCAGCGTGAGCGTGGCGGAGTGAGCGCCCACCACGCAGCGCCAGCGACCCGCGTGGCGCCGGGCCAGCGCGCCCAGCGTGAGCCGCGAGCGTGCGCCGCCCGCCCACCGCTCCGACTCCAGCGACACGCCGCCCTCACCACTCTGCAAATCGACATACACAACCACTCATTTATTTCACTTACTTCAACATCATCATTACTGCCTATAAAAGTCCACTGCTCCGTTTGACGGCTCTGTGGCGCAGTGACTTCGCATTGAGTTGAGGTACTGATGGCCGCAGGTTGGAATCAAATCAAATAAATATTCCATGTCTGGATGTTTGTCCTTCTACAATTTACGTTTGTTAATTGCTTCCACGATACAGGAAAAAAATTATTGTAGGGGAAACGTTTTACAAACAAATAAAAACAAAAAAAAACTTTTACCATAATTACCACACTTGGCAGGCAACATAAGGCTCCTCCAGTGTATGATTAAAGCGCTATGTGATGCAACCCCATAGACAAAAGAAACACCCAATAATTCAGACGTCTAGCCTTCTTCTTTGCCAAGCGTAAAATACCCATATACTGCGATCGTCAATTCTTTTGCCAAACGTAACGATCAGGGCATAATATTTTCTTTATAATAATAGTAATAATATTTTCCTCTAGCGCATGCGCAAGTACTCTCTATTCCCTCACTCTCATAGTCTGATGGGATGGTAATCGACACGAGTGGAGAGAGATCAGGCAAAGGACTTACGGCTTTACGTGTTTTCCGAGGCATGGGAATGAAACACCGTCATCTTCCTGACTCCTGGCTGCTACTGAGAATATCTTGATAGAAAAACCCAATACCCGATCGTGGCCCGACCTGGGATTTGCATGTGCTCATGTCCAGTCGTGAAATGAGTGCGAAAAGGAATTAACTATTCGTTTATTATACAGTCAGCGTGAGTGTAAGTGTGGTACCAGTACCTGCGTATCTACGGTGTGACCAGCGTGGCGCCAGTGGATACGCAGAGGCGGCAGGTTGGGCGGCAGCGCGGTGGGCGCGGGCGGGGCGGGCGGCACGTAGCGCGCCTCGCACGCCAGCGCGGCCGCGCGCCCCGCCACCCCGCGCACCACCCGCCCGCCCAGCGCACGCACCTCCACCTCCGCGGCAGCTGCAGCGGAGTCTGCAAACCATTTTTATAGGAATTTTGCCGTTTTAATCTTTTATACGATAAGGTTGACAAACGAGCACACAGTCCACAGGATATAGTTTTATATGTAGATAACGATGTTTTGACTATTTTAATATTATTATCCGTAATATTTGATACTGACTACTAAGAACACACAACCTTGACGAAAATTTGCCTTTTTCTGTCATCTGAGAGTGCCAGGTGCACTTAGATAGATAGATAGATAAAGCATTTTCTGAATACTTAGTTCTGATCTGAAGGATAAGTGAGTCTGTTTAATTACAAGCTACCAGATATTTCATCTCTTTCTCAGGGATGACGACACATCAGTTCTTCTTTCTAATTTGATTGCAAGTCTCCATGTTCTGCAGTGACCAGTCACTAAACATAGTAATTAAATTCTCATGGCCATTTAGGTGATCAGTTAGCTTATTTGTAACTTAAATATTTTTACTTATAATTTACACCCATATACGAGGGGTGATCCAAAAGTAATGATAATCGGTTACTTCAGGTCCGTATAAAAATCCAAAAAAAATATTTTTTGCTTGCTTATATACTCACTACGTCAGCCTAAAAAAATTATATAAATAGATCACGATTTCCGGGAGATACATTCATTTGAATACGAACTGTCAAAGAGATAACATCAACATGGAGAAAAACGAAATTAGGGCTGTCATCAAGTACCTCTGTTTGAAAAAAATGTCTTCAAAAGACATACACAGTGACTTAGTTGAAACATTGGGGGACTCTGCTCCTCCATATTCTACAGTTGCGCGCTGGGCCAAGGAGTTTAAACTGGGCAGAACATCCACTGAAGATGAACATCGCGAAGGACGCTCATCCACGTCCCTCACTGAAGACAACGTGAAAAAAGTCGACGATGTTGTGTTGGCAGATCGAAGAGTGACCATCAGGCATGTAGCTGAGGTCACAGGGATCTCATATGGCAGCGTTCAAAGAATCCTTGCGAACGAGTTGCATATGATAAAGGTCTCTGCGCGTTGGGTACCCAGAATGTTAACCGACGAGCAAAAGAAAAATCGAGTTGACATTTCGAGAAATTTTTTTGTTCCGTTTTGTGACTATGGACGAGACCTGGAACCGGCTGCCATTTAAGAAACGGGATGCGAACTGCTCGAACACCCTCTCTATTCGCCAGATCTAGCTCCTAGTGATTTCTACCTCTTTCCTCGGCTCAAGGAACGCCTCCGAGGCAAGAAATTCGAAGACGATAGCGAAGTAATGGCTGCTGTTGAAGCGTTTTGGGAGTGTCAAGACAAAGAATTTTTTTTAAAGGGAATCCTGGGTTTAGAAAAAAGGTGGACTAAATGTATTGATTTGTTGGGAGACTATGTAGAAAAATAAATTATTATTTATCTTTAATTACCGTGTTTTATTTTCATTATCATTACTTTTGGATCACCCCTCGTATATCAATAACGACCACGTAAACTACTGTTGCTCATACATGACCATTTACAATATTAAACTGCCAGTTCCACAGACAAAATTTATATTGTGTACTTTACACTTTAATAATTGTCATGATCATACGCCTAAAAGACAATGATCATTTTTAATCTAATGATAAATTTTTATTACTTTAAATCCGAATCCCACAATTCATACAACAAGTACGTTAAATTGTAACAATTTAGAAGGTGCACATCACAAACAGAAGCGAGAGGTTGGGTTACTGTAGACTTAACAAGGTCACGCTACCTGCTCTCATTGTATTCGGTATGTTATTTTTTTAAATGAGGCCATATGATATTGTAATTGTAGATACAAATTTGAGATAAAAGATGAATTTCACTTTTTTATAGTCATTGTCGTTAGTCTATTAACGGGATAGACATTTACATGTTATCAATATATCTTTCTTAATTGTCATCATCTACTTAAATCTCAGTATAGTTTAAGAATAGCTTACCTTCGACAGTCAAATTAAAAAACAGGCTCATTTTGGGCTCCGTATTAATTTGGCACTCGTAGCGGCCCGAGTCAGACGGGCGCAACCGCTCTATGCGTAGTGTGTGAACCGTCTCAACACCTTTCTCCACTATCACGTCCGAGTCGGCTTGCTGATCATCTGGTACATCATCCGATTCATCATCCCAGCCGTCGTCCCAACTGTCGTCCCCTTCATCATCCGGACCATCATCCGTTCTGTCATCTGCTGCTTCGCCTGTTATGGCGGAGACACGAGAATCCGCCGTGAACACGGTCCCGGCGTGAGTCAGTATCTGCAGATCGCTAGACCGTATCCAGGATACCTGTACAATAAGCAAATAATTTACTTAATTATAATTTTAAATTGATGGTAGCGTTGTTGTGTAGTGGGCAGGGGGGATATTTCTAATAGTTGCAACACATAACAACCGTAGATGGTATACTCGTATTTATGGAGTTGTTATCAGGAAGATGCTGCTACGCATCTCCTAGTTCTGATTTCCTGTTTCACTTAAAAAAATCAATATAGTGTTAGATTAACTGTTAGTCATATTTATTTATCCAGGGTATAGAAATGTAAAATGCGCTCAGTACTCTCTTGCATTATAATTTATTTTTGATTTATAATGTGTTTATTAGTGTTTCAAAATTTGATTGAGCCAATGTTTTCGAAACTCGACTCAAGGTTGTGATCAAATTTGTGTTCTTTTTGACCCATCTGAGCCTTTCGTCCCGTTAATTGCCTAGTGCTTACAATTCCTTTAAATACGAACCCGATTTTGTGTCTCGATAGTATTTATAGTGTTTGAGATAACTTTGTTCAAATTTAGTGCTAGCGGTGCAATTAAACTATGTGAGCAATAACATGATTAGTCGTTTAGAGTAATTTGTACAGAATTATTTTCTCGTTTACTATTTTACAATGCAGTTTATCTCTAATTGTGAGAGATTTATTTATAAAAAGTGAAGTGAATTGGTATAAATTCTAAGTTTAAAAACGACCTAAGTTTTTAACTACATAAAGATTTTGGGATTTATTGTTTTCTTTTTTCAAGTAAATCACGGCTCAATTTATTATAATACGTTTAATAATAAATACAATACAGTATAAATATACTGTATCGTATTCAGTTGAAGGATTGTCCGATGCTGAGACAAGTGAAGAATGTAAAGCATCTCATATGAAATTTGAATTATCTAGCGTAGCAAATAGTTCGCTCGCTGAGATATTTTCGGGAGGCACTGACACTTGGCACTCTCATGCGGACTCACAATTGATGCAGTAATTTATCTTCTAAATACTAATTTTCAAGGCCCTCGTGTTGCTGGTCAATACTCTCAGCTATTATATTTCTAGTGGGTGGGGAGCACAAATGGGCGCTTGGAAGTACTTTAAAATTATACGATTATTGACATGCTTCACATGTTTGCGAAATTTTTCTTAAACAGCTTTTAGTCACCACTTTCCTAATATATATTTGCTGACTCGCTATCAAAATAAAGCTGTTGTTTGAAACTTTTATGTTAAAGGAGTAATATTCAAAGCAGTCATGTTGATAACCATATGAGCCCTAAAAGAGTTGGATTGTTTAAAATCATTTTATATTCCCGACGTATCCCGAAATTAATAATTCTAAACGGAAGATAGCCGTGGTCAACTATGTCGTAATCAAACTCAGTCCCCCCCCCCCTCCTCGTGACCATGGGTGCTGTAAAGTACTCGAAATGACGAAAATATAAAATAAGTTAATGTACGCGATAAAAACCGAAAAAAAATAGTTCAATTTAAATGTGTAACGCGAACCCTCGTAGACCTAGTAAATCATTATAAAATCTTTTTAGTTTCATTAACTGTCCTGTTCTTTCTACTCCTATTTCAGTACATATGTTTTAGGTACAATACATTAGGATACTGTAGCCTAATCGTTACGGTTGCGAAACTAAATGGCTAGCCTAAATATTCAAATGCTGTTCAATTTTCTCTTTTTCTCTATTACAAGTCAAAGTGACAATGACGCAATGAGACTTAACGACATTTTAAAATTAAGTAGCGATTGAGTATTTGGCCATAAGAAAGGTAAAAGCTTCGGATTCGCCCTCTATCTATTAACGTGAACTAATGTTTTGTATTCTTTGGGAAATGTCTAACGCTTACTGCATCAAAGATAGTATGTGGGGCTCTCAGTAATATGGCAATTACAACATAAACATCCTAGCTGGCCACTTGCATAATATAATATTATGGATAGCTAATTTAAATGACGGCTCCGTGGCGCAGTGGCTTAGCAATGAGTTGTTGCGCTGGGGGCCGCGGGTTCGAATCCCACACGGTACAAGTATTTGTATGGCCTATAAATAATTGTTCCGGGTCTGGATGTTTGTCCTTGTGCAATTTGTGTTTGTAAACTGCCTCCACGATACAGGAGAAAATCCTAGTGTGGGGGTAACGTTTTTAAAAAAAAATGTTTTAGTATAATACTTTAAAAATTGACGCAAGATAAAAGAATGACGGCTCCGTGGCGCAACGGCAATGACTTGTAGCGATAAGGGCCACGGGTTCGCATCCCATACGGAACAAGTTTTTGTATGGCCTACGAAAAATTGTTTCGGGTCTGGATATTTATCCTTGAGAAATTTATGCATGTAAATTAACCCAGATATAGGAGAAATTCTTAGTGTGGAGGTAAGGTTTTAAAAAAAAATTGTATACATACAATGCGTTATATATAGATATATAATCGCAAAAAAAGTTGTTTAAGATCGATTAAAAATTATAAAGATGCGTTAAGCCGCCAAAGTGCTTTGTTGACGTGGCGACGCAAGTGGTGCTCCCGGCCGGATGTCCGGCGCTTGGCGTTGCTCCGCGGGGTATTTCGGGCGCGTGTCCACTCCGTTCCACACAACATCGAGTAGAATAGAATATTTTTAATTAAATATAGTTTATTACGTAATACTTATTGAAAGTCATTTCTTTATTTGCCACTGGTTCGGAAAACACCTCAGTACTGGGAAAAATCAACAAGAAACCCCGCGGGATTATATTTTTTTAACATATAAGTTCAATTGGGTGCAATTCTTTACATGAATGTTAATGAGGTGATGGTGATCATCACTGCACCTTATTAACACTGTCTATCTGATAATGACTTTACCACACAACTACTTGAACATATTGCCTTTCTCCTGTTTCAAAATCACTAATTGAATATTTTTTTCATGCAACTCTGAGCAGCAGCCCGGAGTCCCGTGCCATCGGATTATGAGAGTGAGGTAATAGGTGACTAATATTCGGTGTGAGGACATTATCGTTTATTGTTACTGACGGCTCGATCCGCGAGGCGCAGCACGCGGCAGCGCAGCGCGGCGGCGGCGCCGGCCCGCGCGCGCTCCGCCGTGCGCTGCCGCCCGCCGAACTGCGGCCCGCCCGCCCCGCCACACACACCTGCAATCATTCAATCTAATTATTATTTATACTGCCACAAGTAGTACCATAATATTATAATAATATCACTTTGTTTCAGATCAAATTTCATAGTACGTTAGTAAAAGTAATTAAACTTCGACATTAGCATTGTTTATCTCCTTCACACAATAAAATAACAGTTGGGACGAAATATCCAGATGATTACACATAGTAAAATAGTGAAGAAATATTAACTAAAAAAAAATCTCAGTCATTCTGTCCCTTTTATCTTTTAAATTTAAAATGCGTGGTAATGCATTATTTTAACCGTTTTTACTGCGCATGCACACATTCGTAAAGATCGATCGGTGGGTGAAAACGTTGTTGAGCATAAATTTCATTCAATAATTTCAAATAAAATTAAAAGCCTCATTTACTCGTATTTTTAATAACAGCGTGTCATTATTTATATATTTGAACTTAAGTGTTAAAATTTGACAACTATAACCTTGTATTTTTCAAAGAGTAGCCAAAGGGTTATTAAATTTAAAAAAAATACGATTGCTTATTAGACAACTTTAAAAAAGGAAAAGGTTCTCAATTTGACTGTATATTTTTTGTACTATAAAAAACTAACCCAAAATATAGTCTTATATAAATTTGAAAACAAAATTTCACCCCTAAAGATGGAAAATAAGGGATCAAGTTTTAAGTGTAACCATTGAGACAACATTTAATGTGAGTAACGATCCAAGAGCAAGTCTTATCCGATAGTCTTAACCAGAGTGACTGACATAGCCCAACGGATTAGTAAGCTGAAATGACAATGGGCCAGCCATATAGCTCGAAGAACCGACAGCCGATGGGGAAGAAAGGTTCTCAATTAGCAGCCTCGCACCGACAGGCTAAGTGTAGGACATCCTCCCAATAGATGGAGTGACGACCTGATAAGACATGCAGGAAATCAATGGATGCAGGTGGCTCGGGACCGTCCTTTGTGGCATTCCTTGGGGGAGGCCTATGTTCAGCAGTGGACTTGTGAAGGGTTGTAGTAGTGAAGGACTTAAACGACATTGAGATTGTGATATTCCTTAGTCCACTCAAAAGGGTCAAAATTATCTTTATAAAAAAAGTAATAAATTCTGTAGTCGGGGCGTTAAGTTTTCTATACACAATGTCTTAACACCGACTTCAGAGTGTAAAATTATTTCATTCTTTTAGTTCTTTGTTCTTCAATTCCACTTTTATTTAATCTTTTTAATATCCAACTATGAAGGATAGTTTATATAGGTACATTATTTTTAAATTTTTTGTAGATAATTATTTTCTTTACTGCATTTTTCTGTGTAGTTGCATTATACTCGTAATATATTCAAATCTTCGTGTGGCGCCCCCTGGCTTAAGTTATGATACTATCAAACTTTTAAATTATTTCATCTGTCCTAGATTTGAATCTCAGCGTAAAATCAATACTCAAGCCCAGAGGGGTAGACAGAAACTACGGACTTCTATTTCGCACGATCCCGACACACCTTTTTCACATCCAAATACCTACGCACAATTCATGCTCGTCGCTTAAGGGTGCTCTTAATTTGGACCATTTTTTAATAAATCGCCTATTTGGTTAAAAACACAATATTTTACTAGTTGTAGGTGTAAGCATAACAGTCCTATCGTAACGCTCATCTTACTCAAACCATTCCGTAAGAAGGGAGATACTTTTGTGTGCCATTAACTTCAATATGCAAATAATATCTGTGCATCTACGATACATTATCTATCTACATCTATCTACATCTTATATTTTGTTGCACCTCACCACCTCCAATTGCTCATGAGAGGTCTAGGTATCTTGTTATAGAGCAATCAATATAAAACATTTAAAAATCGACAATCGCGAGAATTAGAAGTGACTTCTCACAGATGGGCGGTCTCTATTTATTTGGAGCGTTCTGTCGGCGCGTGTCGACCTCCGCTCCAGATGGCTGCGGCATCGGTTTTTTACTGAGGAGTCAACGAGAGGCCGTCCGCTGACGTGTATAAATAAAATGCAACATCTGTCCGTCCGTGCGCTTACTCACGCATATTCTGGTTGTAAGCGAAAAGTTCGTCGGCACGCTGCGAATGTCCGCTATTGACGGAATGCGATCGCTCGGAGATGACGCGGTGTGAATACCGCGAGGGACACAAGCCACGGCAACTGACTAACTTTCATCGTGTTTGGCATTTATGTTTCATGAATTTTTATAAAAGTTCTACACTTGTTTCGCGAAATGATTTCTTATGTTTACGCGAATTCTACATTTTAAATGAAAGTATACTTACAGATGTTATTGCTAGTTAAAATTAAAAATTTTAACTGTTTGACTCCCGACGTATGTTTCGCGTGTTTTTTTTTCCTGTAATTACACAGTTCCTACTCATGAGATAAAACTAATGTTACAGAATAATATTACTTTAAATATACTTTTATCTTATTGTTTACGCGAATACTAAACATAATTTTAGAGGTCTAGAAATTGATGAATTGGCAACATAGTGTCAAATGTTGAAACTATACTATGACACGCTATAAACTCGAAATATATAGAATACTGTCAGAAGTAACGGCGCAAGAGATAGTGCCATCAGTCAAAGGTGTGCGCGCTCAAATACGTGACTAATAATATATAGTAACCTCCAAGTGCCCGATACAACGCTTTTGCGATTAATGTTTATTTTTTTATAGAATAAGAGTGACAAACGGGCACACAGTACACCTGACAGTAAATCTATTCTGTGGCCTATAGACATCTATACTCGTATAGGACTGAAAAGGGTCTTCATAAAAACGCAGTAGCATTAGGTAAGCTGCTATTTCATGCTGATATTCTGTGAGAGGGTGGTGTTTCCCCGGTTGAGCCGACCTATTCGTGGTACAACCATAATATAGCTGCAACGTCACACTCCTGGGCACAGGCCTCTTCTGATTTCTTACAGGGTTATAGAGCATTGGTGATGGGATGGATTTAACATGTATAATAATATTATACTTCGAACATGCAGGTTTACTCACAGTTTACCTTCGCGTAGGCGATGGCACCTGGTAAATCAGCACTCAAAATCGCAATTAACAATTTTATTCGAAGCCGGATTGCTTTCATATTGTTGTGTGAATGTAGAGAACCCGAGACTCTTTTTACTGGAAGGCATTCCATCTTTTTCCTCAAGGTTATCTGCATTTTGATTCTCAATCAAGGATTGATGTATATATATATATAGGCCACAGTATCCACTTACTTTCAGGTGGGCACGGGCACACTCGCTTGTCACCCTTTTTCTATAAAAAAAACTAAATTATAAACGAAACAGATAGTACGTAACAGTACGTACCTACCTATCGCTTCATAAAACCATACGTGAATATTTAAGTCCGCTTGTGTACATGCAAGTGATATATCCCAGCAGTTTGTTTGTTTTCGCTCATCTTTCCCAGCGTTGCGTCACGTCGCTCTCCGATTTCCACAGCGCAGATCAAAATTAACATTTCTTAATCGTTGTGAAAGGAAATTGTGTAAAGTGCTTTCCGTTCGACGAAACAGAGAACAGAGGAGACATTTATTATAAATTTATAAATATAAATGATGTGGAAATCTCCTTACAATGTACCTAGCATGTTATATTATACACAATAGTTATTTTTTTTATAAAATTTAAGTAATAAACAAACGTACTGCTGTTTGGTGTAGGTAACAGATAAGTGGATGGTGTCCCTACTCAAGCGGACTCCTATGCAGAATGGAAGTCCAACCACCCAGAATAAAGTAGCAACTGCGCGGATCCGTGGTCACAGTACCTATATGTATAAAATATCGCGGGTTTCGAGTTTGAATTATATTTGTTTCTATTGTGACTGTTTTATTTCTTCCTTTTAACACAGCCTTACTTTTTGTTTGCTTAAGTTATATTTTATTCTTTATAAGAGTTCTCATTAAGCATAAATAACCTGCAGCCTATATACGTCCCTAGACTGGATACAGGCTTTCCTTAATTTTTGGATGGTTATAGAGCAATTTATTTGCCGCTATGCTCTTTTGCATGTTGAGGTATTCTCGTGTTCTCTAAATATTTAATTTGTAAGACATACAGGTTTCCTCACAACGTTTTTTCTGACACCGGCTACGTTGTAAAAGCCAGCACTTTAAATTGTAATTAACAATTACGTTGATCCCTGCGTAGTGCGTACCTGAGTTGCTCTCTAACTGAGAAACTTACGGTTAGCTCTTATTCACTGAGCTACCATGAATAATAATAATAAATAAATCAATATTATTCGAGCAGACAAGAAGAAGACATGTTATCAAAGTGTCATTTCGTTTGTCATATGACTGATGTGACAATCTTCCATACGTGGTAGAGTCACGCTGCAGCTACTTTATGGTACGAATGGGTTTGTTCGACTAGCTCGGCATTAACATAATTCCTATTTAAGCATATGAATAAAACTAATTTATTTGAGTTTGGAATAGAAAGATGGAATTCAAATTTAGCTCACTTCTTAGTAAATTTATTTCCGTAGGATAACTAGAGTAACGCCTACTAGAAGTAGGCAGTGCTCATTATAGCGGTACGGAAATAGACGCACGCGCCAGAAGTACCTAATGTAAGCAATCACTATTAACGTCCGGGACAGTCTTTCGGCGGGACAAATTCTAAAATACAATCAAACTACTGTCTCAAAAATTTATTAGTTTCGAAATATATAACTCAAATTCAAAATTTAAAAAACCCCGAAATAAAAACAACTGACGACCTTGAAGCAGCTGAACCGATTTTAATAAAACATGTCTTTTTAGAACCAGCGCAAGAAAAGCTGCTTTTAAATAAAAAAAACGCGTCCAAATTGTTCACCCGTTTAAGAGCCACGGTGCCACAGACAGACAGAAACACATAGCGGTCAAACTTATAACACCCTTCATTTTGTGTCAGAAGTTAAAAATACAGCATTACATTCATAGTGAAGTTCTTCGTGAATTAAATATATTCGTTCATTTCTTTACGATAATTTGA